GTTGTTTGTAAATTGTGTTTTTGTTGTAAAAATATAGTACGAAAGCAGATGTTTTCAAATGTCCTCCTGCGTCTTCGATGAGGAACACGATGGGCCTGCTGTGGATTCTAAACGGAGGAATTGTAGTGAGCGAATGGTAGTTTTAACCATTACTGTCATTCAGTAGTGATTCCGGCCGACAGCGCCGCCTCCGCAATGCGTCGAGGGAAAGTTTTAGTCGCCTCTTAAAGGCGGCCTCCAATTCGCACACGTCCACGCAGCCGCCTTTGTCCCATGCTGCGTAAACCTCTAGTTAGCAGCATAAGGCATGCATAGGAGGTACCGTACCTTTGATGACCTTGTATACGTGCGAACCGCACAGGCCCTTCTTGGCTTTTTTCTTCTGAAGTTTATGTAATCGGTAGCCTCGCCATCATAGAGGGTATAAAACACCCACTTGACAAAGTCGTCCGTATTTCTTCTTCCGAGGCAGACTAGAATCCCTCTAAAATATGCCTTGACATTCGTAAAAACGTACCAGTCTACATCCAAACTGGGGGTCTCAAAGCCTACCGTGCACAGCAAGGAAGTCAGACCAGCCACACCGGCCGCCTAATTGGATTAGAGGCCATGGTTGCCCTCGTGTCGTCTGGTGAAGGCTGGCGGTCTTTAATGAGGGACGCCGTGGTGTGCAGCCCGTCATGCAAACTAGGGTTGCTCTTAATGAGCCCTGCTAACCGATTGCTTGATCCAGCTGATGCGGGCTAGCAGTGATTCCTAAACGGACAGCTTGATCATGATACTTCAGTAAAACAGTTTTTAACGAATAGCATTACCTTCAGTGTTTGCAAGCCTACCTGCAGGCAGCGTGTCTGCCGAATTCATGTCGGAGTCAACAATTGCCTACACATTAATTAATGTAACATGATGAAACCTACCATGGGTGACAGAGGCGACTCGCCCAGCTCATATGACGGACTGTTGTAAGGATTCCGGTGGGGTCTGGTTGATTTCACGCGACCGTTACCTTCATCACCGGGCACTATAGGTATATCTACAATCAATTCGCCCGCTACTACGTCTGACCCTCAGTCCAACAGTCAGTCACTCTTCACAAACAAACCTTGGGCTGGCTGCGAGGTCCGAGTTGGACCGTCTGTTGACAACCTTCCAAGCTACGACTCTTGGCGTATCGTGATGGTCTCAAGAGCGTCAGATTCTTTATGGTAAGGGAACGCAGAGGGTCGACCTTACTCGCTCTTCCCGTGCACCAGTTGATTATCCGAGTCAGTCAGCCAACTGATGCTAAGATTGGGAGAGATGACTGACAGAGCTAAGAACTGCCCATCTGTGCATGCCACGCACGCGACCTGCCTACAAACGCGCACGGGGATTCCACTCAAAAGGGTGGGCTGCCCAAATCGCGCATGCGTGGGAGTGCCATTCTGACTAACAAGATATTTGGACGCACATGTATTGAAAGGCCTTATCTAATGTTTCACTGGAAGGCCGTGGACGATTCACCACCAGGGGATGGCCAAGGTTTTCCGTTCTTGCCTTGCCGTTACACTCGAACATCTTTTTTCCCAACCCTTGATCTGGAGGCAAATTTCGATCCGTGTGGGTTTCGTCTTCGGCTGCGCGTATCCATATCTCTTACATTATCACTTTGTGTGTGCCTTATACATAATTCTGCCATTGCCCTTGCTACTTTTTGTCTTTCCGACTTAAGATGATTTTACACAACCTCACAAAAATCTCATACAATTTTTTTGTTTTGAAAATTCCTGTTTTAACACCTATTTTAGTTCGAGGTCTCATTTGCGCAGTCCATATCTGGCCTGCAGTCAAAGAATGCTGTCAACTTTCACAGTTCGCCCGATCTATGCCATATACTCGCTGAAATTCACGCCATTATTAGCAAAATGTTCCTCCAAGAACCTTCACCAAAAGCCTGCCGACACAGGAACAATCAAGCACCTTCTTGATCATGACAATTTTGGGTACAGAGAGCAGTTAAGAGCACTACTTCTGGATGATTTAATGACACCAAGGTAACTGGGAGAGTGAAATTCACATTCTCAAAACAAACAGGTACAATATTTCTTTACAAGATGAGCGAGAGGTAGCCTTGGCTCGGTTGAAGCTACTCTGTGACAATAAAATGATCTCAGCGAAAGACTTCTTGTCCAATCCACAGCGAATTTTTGCTGCACACGAATTGTCAGCCATACTTGATCCATCTATGACCACGAAAATGACCGTACAGTTTAATCTTTTTGGCGGGACTGTTCTCAAACTCGGCACCGAAAAGCATCACCAAATACTTGATGGGGTCGATTCTCTAGAGGTAAGTCTAATTACTACCTCAATGCTACCCCTTAGACCTCATTGGCAATGTTTGGTTAGTCAATCACCACTATATTTTGATGCTTTACCGTCGATTATTTGGTCGTGCCTAGTGAATAGCCCAGCTTCTCATACCAACCTGAGGGTTTAAGTATGAGCAAAAGTCATATCGGTAGTAAATATTGTTACATAACGTCTGGAAATATTCCATCTTTCGCACTGAGTTAATTAGGACCTCACAATTTTCTTATTTCAAATCGATTTTAGACAGATAAACGATTCTTGGAGCTTGCTATTCTTTTCCACTACAGGAAGTTGGGTGCTTCGGTCTCACAGAACTGGGCTATGGTAACAATGCTGTTGAAATGGA